TTCCAGAATGATGTAACTAATTACCTTACATTTGGCAAGTGTGAATACATCTCTTGGTTCTTCCCTACACTTGTTCCTCACCCATACTTCAGCATCTCAGTCACAAGCATAGTTATTAATATGTACTCAGTTACTTAAGAGTTCTAATTAATTCCTAGATTTCCATTATATTTAATACCTACCTCTTTAAAAGGAGGCAGTGATAAAGTTTTATCAGTTGCCTCCTTTTATTTTTCCTATACTTGCTGTAAAGGAAGTTTTCTGGAGTGGTATTTGCTAAGTGGAAGCCAGAATATGAGGAAAATGTTTTGCCACGTGGATGTGAAGATTTATTTTGTTTGTCCAAAGCAAACAAATGAACTCAAATACCATAAACGAAATAGATAGGATAGTAAAGATCTTTAAAATTAAGATGATAATTTTAAATCGAAAACACATTTGAAACCTTACACTTGTCTACACTTACTTTAAGAATAGAAACACAGAAATTTTATCTCTAGTCTCCTAAAACCTCTGAGGTCTTCTACTTGGTTTTCCTGTTTCTATTCTTTCCTCAATCTCCATCCCCCCCCAAAACATCTAAAGTAATGCCTAAAAGGCCTAATTAGGTCATCTGACACTTTCTTCTTTAAAATCCTCCTATGTCTCCCCATTAATACTTTAAATAAAGGCAACACTCCATACCCCACAAGGTCCTATCTTACAAGGTCCCCTGTGATCTGGCTCCTGCTATCCTCTGACTTTTCTCATGTTCCCCATTACAAACTTCTTTCACCCACACTGGACTTATTTCTGTTTTTCAAACATGTCAAAACTCCTTTTGGATTTGAGGGTCATGACATTATCTATGGAGCTAGTGAGTGCCAGGAGCACACTAACCCCAGATTACGACAGCACTATTTGCTTAGCATATATCTCATTCATTGATAATCCAATTGGCCTATTAACATTTATATCTTTAATTTTTCTTATCATTCTTAATTACCTTCCATTTTCTTGCACATATGCATGTTGATTGTTCTGTGAGTCTATAATTCCACACTGTGGAACAATGCCTGGACCACAATAGGTTTGCAAAACAAAATTTGTTGAATAAAGGAACAAATGAATGACTATTATATCATGGGGAGCATGAAGTTAAGGAAGGTTTTCTGTTTTCTGCAGTAACATTTAAGACAGGAGATTACATAAATTGATGACACAAACTTGAGCATGTTTATGTAATCGAGGGATAGTGAACACCGAGAAGTTGTAGATTCTATTATAGAAGTTGCAATAACTGATAGAGCATGAAGGTAGTAAAGAGACATTCAGTGATTAGCACTAGAAAGAACAGTAAACACTGTGACTGAGAAACAGACTGGTAAGGAAGAGTTGAAATACAGAGGAGTACACAGCTGTCAATGTTGGGATCAGAGTGAATTTCTGGCAGGACTGGCTCTCATGGGGTAAGATCACCATCAGCTAGTGCCGAAAGTGAGCTCCCTCCACTTTTCCTTTGCTGGTTGTTTTGGGAGAAGAGAGAAGATTGCATCAAAGGACTGTCTGCTCTGAGAGAAACTGCCCTTATCTTTTGCAGTAGTCCCTTTAGAGCAATTAAATATTAATATTCAAGGTGGATTATCTGTTATGATTTCTACCAGGTAGACATATGAGAAACATTTAACTTTCTCCCTTATATTTATGCCAGTTTCCTCTTCTCATACACTGATTACTGTCATTCATAGTATCTTCTAAGCTTTTCTGATTATTGTCTCTAACACACATGCACACACACACACACACACACACACACACACACGTGAATCTACTTCTGATTCATTTGGATTCTCCCAGTTTCTTCACTGTATTAAACGGGATCTTCAAATGAGGCAGTCATATGCTCGCTTGAAACATGTGACATTTTTCTTCTCTGAATCCATTATTTCCAATTCAGAGTACTATGATAAACAGAGCAAAATCTCTCCACTGTGCAGATTCTGTTAAACAAATGATGGTAGCAATAAAAGCAGAAATTCATAAATAATTAGCAAGTAGTAGGCCGAACAGAAATCGTCCACTGTGAGATGATTGAGGAAAATCAATGGGAGGGCCACTGAGACTGTGCAGAATCAATCACAGTAATGTGCCATGCAAGGGTACGGCCTTTCAGTCATAACTGCTTCACGCGATGGTGTGGTCTTTCAGTCATCATAATGGCTTTAATAATCATTTGAATTTAAGATGACACAAAATTGAATGCATGATCTTGTTTTTCTTAGTTGGTATGTCCCACTCAACCTTTATTTTTCAAAATACTTAGAAACCCAAGCATTGGTCATTAACTTAAATAAAGAAGGCCTTAAAAGGTTTTCAACGTTACTCATCTCTAGGCGTCTCCATATCTTGTGCTGAAATTAATTCTTGCCTAGATTTGCTTCTGGACCTTGTATTTACCTTGCAAACCTTCATATTTTAAAAGAAGTGACCATTAATGATGGTCATGCTACAGAGAAATCTTTCATGAAAGAAAGCATCAATTGACGTGGCAAACTTTATCACTGCCTCCTTTTAATAAATTGTTATGGCAACCTCAATTTGTATCAACCACCACTCTGATCAGTCAATAGCTATCAACATTGAGGCAAGACCCTCCACCTGCAAAAAGATTACAACTTGCTGAAGGCTCCAATGATTGTCAGCAATTTTTGACAATTATTTTTTAAATTAAGGTACATACACGTTATTAAACATAATGCCACTGCACACTTAATGGACTACAGTCTAATCTAAACATCACTTTTATATGCATGAGAAACAACTTGTGTGATGTAATTGACACAGCTGCCTTGTAAAATATTAATTCAAATGAAAGAATTAATTTGTTAACTATAATGAGTAAATATCCATACTACAATACAAAAGCTTTTGTTGAAATGTGGCTGGCTGATTTCCATGTGCTTTGATGTCATTTTTTTTCAAACTAATTTAATTGTCTTACATTTGCTATGTTCAATAGTTTAAAATCCACTAAAACACTTATTTGGAAGACATAGAAATTTTGCTTCTAAAATAATTATTAAAAGTTTGCTTCCACATATTTGAAACATGGAGATTGGAAAAATGTTGTATTGACAAATGGACCTTGATTTTAGTTACAACATCAAATACTCAAATAATTGATGAAAATGATCCTAAATATTCATTTAAAAATTATCTTTACTTTGTACATGTTACATACCAAAAGGAGGTCTTTGTCAAATATCAATCAAATAGTATTTTTGCTATAAAAGGATAGATAAAGTATCTATGTTGTAAAATGTTAAGCTAAGTAGCATATGACTGAGAACCTATTGTCCACCCAGAAAATGTCAGCAAATTTGGAATACTTGTTTGTTGTTGCTGTTGTTTTTTAAAAAAAAATGTGACTTATGAGTTTAGCACCACATGAGTTCCAGAAGGCAAATAGTAAATATCTGAGTACAACAAATTTTCATTAAAATTCTGAGTATGATTACAAACTATTAGTAAATGTCTTTTACAATTATCAAGGAAGTCTTGTTTTAATTAAATTAACTGTATCGATAACATACTATATCACTTTTCTGCATTTTCTGGCTTCAAATTCTTGCCACAATTATTTGCCAACATTTTTTTTTTCACAAAACCAGAATTTATTGAAAGCAGGTACCAGCTCTGACTAGAACAATTAGAGATACCATTACTCAGAAGAACTATACATACAAAAATCTCAGGGAAAGGAGAATAAAAGAACTTAAAAGAATACAACATGAACAGAACTTTACCAAAATGGTCTTGTTGCAAAATAGTAGCTACCGCAAAGATCCCTACATGAGAAAGCCATGTGTCCTTAAGCCTGGGGGTGAGGACTCTAGTTCTCAAATTCTTAGAACACAGTGCATGATTCTCATAGGGAGAGAGGCTGGGTGAAGCATGAGGACCTCACTGCTGACGCCGTTTAACAAAGCCCATTCCCCAGGCACAGGCACACAGGGAATGAGATCACCATGCAAGTCACACCCGCCCCTGCGCCCATGAGCTCCGTAAGAGAGAAATGCTCTCTGAAGTGACTGTCCATAGAATAACTGTCTCCAAGCTGACCACTGGACCGTGGACAGCTTAGAGACAGTTATTCTACCGACAACCACATAAAACCCCCAGAATCTAAGCCCTACATTTCCCTTATCCAAATTCTCACTAACTGGGGAGGTTGAAGAGCAAGACATGGAAGTTGTCTCCAAAACAGTATTCGATCTCCAGTAAACATGGATAAACATAAAACACTGTTCCACAAGCAGATTTCAAAAGAACTACTGGGCACAGCAGGTGAAAGACCCCCAAGTCCCATTTAGCACCTCGCATAGGAGGAAGATGAGGAGGAGAAAGAGGAGGGCTGGGAGGAGGGTGTGTGATGAGTGTGGGAGGGGAGACGAGCATGTTCGCTGCTGAGGTCACTGCTGCCAACTGTCCTGTTCTGCTGATCTGTAAAGTTCCCGCCACCTTCTGGACCTGCCCTTTCATGGCTCAGAGCTCATTTGTCTGAGCCTAAACGTCCCAGTCTCAAGCATAGAGAGCAGAGATACCAGAGGCAGAAGTTCTCTGGGTAGGGGTGGTGAAGGCAGTCTTCCTGAGAACACAGGGTTCTGTGCCCCCTCGACTGCAGGGAGGGCAGGGTGAAGAGGGTGCCAAGTTACAGGAGGCGGAAGGCAGCAGCTCAGAGGGCAGGGAGGATTCAGCTGGGAGACTGACGGGAAGCTTCCACGGCATGGAGCCAGCAAGCAATGGCTGGGGTCAGCTGAAATGGGGGCTGCGCAGCACAGCTCTACCTAACTGGTGTGGGAAGAGCATGTCTGAATTCCTGAATTCCTGAATTTCCCCAGTGCAACACGGGTCCTTGCTCTGGAACTTCACACTCAAACGATAAGCAAGCCTGAAGGGAAGAAGTCTCTTCAGGTTCCCAGAGGTGCCCATTAAAAGTCCATCCTGTCAACTTTGGCTTCTCATTTGTGGGTCCATATGCTGCTGCAGATTTGGGTGAGGCGACTGGAGAGCTTCTTAGTGTTTCCCAAGGCCTCTGGATCCAGCTGAGCAATACTGTGCCCCTGCAAGTCACTGGCCAATAATCTCAGGCTCTCTCTGCTGCCCATTGGCACAGTGAGGAAGATCTCTTTGCTGTATGCAAGAGGGCTGCCATTCCCTGAGATGTGGTAAATCCACTCTCCTGCTGCTGGAGTGTGCAGGCCAGGGGTCTTGAAGACTCTCGAGTCAAACCTAGGGGTCAGGCCCGGAGCTGGTTTGACCATGGACGCCTGCAGTTGGCCCAGGGCTGCGGTAACGATGTTAGCACGGCTTGACCTTTTCCTTTTGCCTTTTCCTTGTACGGACTGAGTTCTCTTCTTGGATGGAGGACACCTTTTGACTCTTGCAGTTTGAAGATTCTTATATATTTTTTTTCTTCTTTCTACTATCATTTTATCTAGTTGTATTACCTTTTGTGTTTTGGCAGATTTCAGGGGTGTCTGAATAGCTTCTGCTGTTAGTTTGTTTATTTTGGTGATATCCAGGTCAGCTGTTGCTGCCTCTTCCAGGGCCTGCTTGTTTCCTCCGAGGGTGAAGTAGTTGAGCCAGCTCATCTCACGCAGTGCCTTGAGGAGTCACAGTATCTTGATGTTGTAGAGGTTATCCACCTCCTTGAGGAAGTTCTTGCTAGTAGGCAAAGAGCCAAGTCTGATCTTTCCTAATTGAAGAGACATCAGGAAGATTGGCTTAGAGAGGAAATAATATATCCAACTAGTTGAACAGCTAAGAAACACTGTGGCTCTCCATGCTGACATTGCTGCTCAGAAACTGTTCTGGGCTGATCTAAGCCAAAAGGCCATCTTCAGTGCCTCAATTGATGACAAGGTCAGTAGACATGTTAAAACGATTGACAGTGTCTATAATCCTGTAGCCACTGCTGTTGATTGGGTGTACACGACCATCTACTGGACTGATGCGGCTTCTAAGACTATTTCAGCAGCTATTCTAGATGGAACTAAGAGGAAGTTCCTGTTTAACTCTGACTTGGGAGCACCTGCCTGCATAGCTGTGGATCCACTCTCTGGCTTTGTTTACTGATCAGACTGGAGTGAACCAGCTAAAATATAAAAAGCAGGAATGAATGGATCTGATAGATGTCCGCTGGTGACAGTGGATATCCAATGGCCTAACGGAATTACACTGACCTTATAAAAAGCCACCTCTATTGGCTTGATTCTAAGTTGCACATGTTATCCAGCGTGGACTTGAATGGCCCAGATCGTAGGATAGTCCTAAAGTCTCTGGAGTTCCTAGCTCATCCTCTTGCACTAACAATATTTGAGGATCGTGTCTACTGGATAGACAGGGAAAATGAAGCAGTCTATGAAGCCAATAAATTCACTGGATCAGAGTTAGCCACTCTAGTCAACAACCTTAATGATGCCCAAGGTATCATTGTCTATCATGAACTTGTATAGCCATCAGGTAAAAATTGGTGTGAAGAAGACATGGAGAATGGAGGATGTGAATACCTATGCCTGCCAGCACCACAGATTAATGATCACTCTCCAAAATACACCTGTTCCTGTCCCAGTGGGTACAATCTAGAGGAAAATGGCCAAGATTGCCAAAGGATCAATGCGACCACAGCAGTATGAGAGGTCAATGTTCCCCCAGAAGGGACTTCTGCTGCATCGGCCATTCTTCCTCTCTTGCTCTTATTGACGGCAGCGGTAGATGGCTACTTGATATGGCGGAATTGGCAACACAAGAATATGAAAAGCATGAACTTTGACAATCCCGTGTACTTGAAAACCACTGAAGAGGACCTCTCCATAGACATCAGTAGACACAGTGCTTCTGTTGGACACACGTACCCAGCAGTATCAGTTGTAAGCACAGATGATGGTCTAGCTTGACTTCTGAGATGAGTCTTGACCTTTGAGGTCTAAATCAGTAATAACCCCATCGGAATGGTAACCGAGACTTCAGCTGAAGTCTCTTTCTTCCTCTCGTCTGGAAGAACATCAAGATATCTTTGCGTGGACCTTGTGTACTTTACCATTTTCATATTACTTTTGTAAATATTCTTGTCCACATTCTACTTCAGCTTTGGATGTGGTTACCAAGTAACTGTACCCTTGAATTTCTAGACAGTATTGCCACCTCTGGCCATATATGCACTTTCCCTACAAAGTCACATTCCAGCAATGAAATTTGTGCTATCATGCATACCACCTGCACATACATTGTACAGGCCATCTGTATATATCCCAGAGAACAATCACTATTCTTAAGCACTTTGAAAATATTTCTATGTAAATTACTGTAAACTTTTTTCAACGGTTGGGACAATGGCAGTAGGATAAAATGGATTACGAAGATGAAACTGCCAAAACAACTTGTAAACTAATTTTGTACGTATGAATGAAATCTTTGACCTCAGTGGAGGTTTGCAAAGACTGAGTTTTCAAACTACTGTATGTGTTTTTTTCAAGTGCTAAAAAATTGAACCAAGCAGCTTAACTATGAAAAAAAAAATATGTTGTTATAGAAGAGATTCATTCTTGCACAGACGCTCTAATTTTCATCAGCGATTAATTTGTATTGTTTTCCATAAAACATTGTTTTTACCAAAGACATTTTTTAAAATTTTACTTTAGGTTCTGGGCTACATGTGCAGGCCGTGCAGGGTTGTTGCACAGGTGCATACAGAACCAGGTGGTTTGCCGCCACCATTCCCCCTTCCTCTGTATCTTCCTCTGTATCTGGCATTTCTCCCCATGGTATCCCTCCCATTGTTTTTACCAAAGACATTTATTTTTTAAAAAACATATTTTCTCTGTTATACTTCCTTTATTGCTCAGGGAAAAAATGTTGCATATGCATTTCAATATTTCAAAACAGAATTTAGCAAATATCTTAATTTGTGATGTATTAGAAACATATGTTTTATTAACCAGTTTTACAGAAAACTTTCCCCACTGAATAACTTGTCCTAATACTTCTTCAAATTTTCAAAAAATATCTCTTCATCTTCCAAAAATATTTACTGATAAAGGAATTCGTTTTAGCTATTTTGACTGTAGCAGGAGGAAGCTTTATCCCCATAAAATATCAAGGGCATTAGCGTGTCTATGAACTTGTATTTTTCAAATTTAACTTCATAGATAAAAATGTTTTTTTAGTTTAATAGAAAAACAACAATATGGACTCATGTATTTTATGCCAACATTAATTTTCAAATTTCTAATATGTTAACTATTGCTATCCAGACTATATTATTATTTGTGTAGACCTCCATATGTTCCCCTACAATACTCAGTGCAAATTTTAAAAAATTATAATGTACATTGAAAATTAGAAAAAATTAGCTGAACCTAACAAAATGGCACCAGTAGGTGAGCTTTAGTAACCCATGTGTGCAATTATATACCAAGCAAGGCTCTCAAGTACCTAAAAGCTAACAGCTAGGTCTTCACATGAAGTTAATAGTTATATGAAAATATAGAATATATGATTTAGTAATAATATCACATTAGAAAAAGTCTAATGCTACTTTCAGGCTATAAGTGCTTCTTGTCTGTTATTTACATTCATGAGAATAAATGTGAACAGTTGATAGTTACTGGTAGTATTTCAAGTTAAAATTTTTAATTAAAAATTTCTTACTTTATTTTCATGTTTTTAGAATAACTTAATTATAGTCTTCTGGGTCTGAGGGTAGTGCTGTGATTTACGCTTTCCTCAATATTGAATGCAAAAATATAATAATTGTCTTAAGGCATGTAAGTGTCATTCATAAACCAGGATTTCAATTTTTGGTGGTAAATAAAACACAGTGTCTTATTGACTAGGTTTATTGATTCAATTTATGTTAAATAAATTAGTACTTTTATCTGCTTTAGAAATTTATGTTCACATTATGAGGACATTTAAAAGAAAAGCATCTAGTGCTTGAAAAAAACAAGCAAGTAAAATCCTATGCTGTATTCTGTTATATGTACATAGATCAGACAAAAATGCCACCTTCCCAAGCATCTAATTCAGTCCCGAACTTCATGCCAATCTCACGTAAAGCTTCATGCTTTATCCCGGATAAAACCCAAAAATCTCTGGAACTAGATGAAAGAAACACGTTAAGGTACACACTATCTTTAATCTTCCAGGTATTTTTACTTTCTTCCTTGGATTCCCCAAACAACAACAAAAAAAAACGCTGCTCCTCTCTTGGTATAGTCAGTTATGTTTCGGTATATCAATTACTTGGTTATAAATCCTTTGGGTGTAAGGATTACATGTTCATTTACTTATTCTTAGTACTAAGCCTACTGGTGCCTGACACAGAGAAAGCACTCAATATATGTTATGAGTTTTAATGAATTAAAATAAATTCTCATCATTTTTCTGCAAAGATATCATCTCTTTTTTATTCCCTTTGCTGGCTTTACATTGACTACTATTTTGAACTTATTTTGTATACTTATCCTCCAGGTTCTTCAGTTTTCTCTGCCCCTCACCATTTTTGCTTACTAAGTTTTCAATATGTTCTGTTGTCTCCCTGCATTTCTGCAGAGTCTGCCCATCATGATGAATGAGGGAGTCACGATAGTCATTGAGGGTACTTGAAATATGTAGTTACTAGAGCCTTTCTTTTTCAGGGTGCTGTCACAGAGAGGAGTCATGCTTTGTCACAACAGAACTCTTGGTCAGAACCAAGAGTTCCTTTATTGGAGAAGGTTGAACGGGTCTAAGGGATTCTTTGTCTGACCCACTAGGTAATTCTGTCCTAGTTTTATTCAAAGTAGTTCCAGAACTGCACTTAGACGTTCTGCTCCTCACAAAGGCATCTGGCTCACTTCTCTTGAAGGCCACATAGCACTGTGGCGAATGAGCAGTCTCTGGACTGGGCAGATGGAGGCCCAAATCTTTGTTTGCCACTCTTACCTTTGTCATCCGAAGCACGGTATTTGTCTATCTGTGCCTGCAGTTACACATCTACGAAATGGAGATAATATGGTGCCCATGCCATATGTTTAAGAGGATAAGATAAAGCACATACAACAATGCCTTGGGCCCAAGTAAACATGGAAAAATCTTTGCACCAGATTTTCTGGGCTTGACCACAGAGCCTGAAACAAGGACTTCTAAATTTCTCTAGGCTCTTTCTGATAAATATTCAGCATTCTCTAGAACAGCACACCAGGTAATTTTGCTGTTGAAATCACCAAAGTACTTAAATTCTTAGTACTTAGTACACCAAAGTGCTTAATTCTTAGTCTTCCAGCTTAGAATTTTATCCCTGACATGAAAATAGCAACAGTGAATTTGAGAGAAACGTGTATTAGAACAGCGTGTGTTTTACAGCAGAGCACACACTGACAGGTGACAAATCAATGTGACCTGGGTGGGTGGGGGGATAAATCATTCTACCATAAGGACACAAGCACACGAATGTTCATAGCAGCACTGTTTACAATAGCAAAGACCTGGAACCAACCCAAATGCCCAGCGATGATAGACTGGATAGGGAAAATGTGGTACATATACACCATGGAATATTATGCAGCCATCAAAAACGATGAGTTCATGTCCTTTGTAGGGACGTGGATGAACCTGGAAACCATCA